AACTAAAAACGAACAATTGCTTTACGCCGAATTGCCGCTATTTGAAAGTGAAAGTAAAATGCGCACGCCGCTTTTGCAAGCTATTTAAAAGTGAAGGAAAGCGAGGAAAAGAGGAAATGCCCCTGCCTCCACGGTGATACCGGTATTATCGGTGTTGTCACATGTCGATTAACCGGTGGGAAAATTTCCTCACCGACACAACCCTACTGTAAAATAAAAAAAGTTGTTTTTAATAAAAAAACGAAGAATTCTAAATATAAATTCTTAAATGCAATTTTTTTAGTAAAACATTAAAATAGTAATATTTCTTATGTTGTTTAATATTTTTATGTTTGTTATTATTATTATTATTATTATTAATAATTAATCAAATTACAAAAAAAGATCACAACATTTTGGGCAAATTGTGCAGCCCTACAAACAAGCAGAACTGCTTTTTTAAAACTGCATTTAAACACAATTTAAATAAACTTTAGAATTGTAATTTTACTGTTGTAGTTGTACTGTAAAATACAATTATTCTTATATTTTATCTTGAATACACAACGTTTTAATGAAATATTACAACAGTAATATTTCTTGTTTGTTTAATATTTTATTTATTATTATAATTATTAATTAATTAATAATAATCAAAATTTTAAAACGGCATTTTAAATCGCAATCACAATCAACATTTTATCAGAAAAAATATCACAATTCAAATTTCCCCACCAAGAACAGCCTAGCAACACCCTAACAACTACAAAACATCAACAATGCTCTAAGCAACTGCTTAGTAACCACTCAGAATACAACAGCAACACCCTATCAACCATCCAGCCGTGTTAGGGAACAGTTTGGAATCTGAAATGTTGGCTAGTTAACTTGTTATTAGGAGGGAGTGAAGCATCTTTTATATTTTACATTTCAGTTTTGAGTCTTGCATCTAAACACAAGTGTAGCCGGTGCATAATATGCTCTGAATGATTAAGCACATTCTCTGTGGCAGTGGTTTCATAATAGCTTCACAGAATTCAGCATTTATGTACACATTTAGAAACTCGAGCGGTAATTACTGGCTAGTCCGCTCATGGGAAACTGTCATATCTAGCTCTAACTAGTTCCCTCTTAATGGAAACACACATCACAGCATCCAGAGAGAGAATGAAAGTGTTTGTGTGTGCATTACGTAATGCAGCCATTGTGAGCCCGACAGGA